ATAACCCGTCAGTGGTTAAGCACCTCTGGGTTCAATCTCTAGTACAAAAAGGGGGGTTCTGGGTTTGCTGCTTAGCGGTAGAGTGCTTGCCCATCATATGAAAGGCCCTAGGTTCAGTCCCCAGTATCAAAAAAATAAAAAACAAACAAAAAATGGTGTATATGTGTTATGGGTTGAACTCCTAATTCCACATCTCAGAATGTAAGCTTATTTAAGAATAGGGTCTTGGGGCTGGGGGATGTGGCTCAAGCGGTAGTGCGCTCCACTGGCATGCGTGCGGCCCGGGTTCGATCCTCAGCGCCACATACAAACAAAGATGTTGTGTCCGCTGAAAACTAAAAAATAAATTTAAAAAAAAAAAAAGAATAGGGTCTTAAAAGAGGTACTCAGTTTAAAGCTAGGTCATTAGAGTGTCCTTAAGCTAGGCTGACTGGTATACGTACCTAAAGGGGACAGCTAGAGGCAGACATACATGCAGGGAGAAGGTGGACATCTGCAAGCYAAGGAAAGAGGCCTGGACTGATCCATCCCCTGGCCCCAGAGAAGCCTGCAGGCACCTGAGTTCAGCCTCTGGCTTCTGGCTAGGAGACAATGCATTCAATGAACTTCTTTTGTTTAAGCCACTCAGTGCATGCTGCTTGGTCCCAGTGGCCCTAGCTTACTAATGCAACATGCTTTGGAAGATTTTCTGGTAGCTCATAAACTCATCCCTAGCTTAACAAGCTACTTTCGCATAAATAGATTCCACCATTTGTCCACTCATTTAACAATGTATGATGGACACTTCTATGCAGGAGCATATGCTTACCTTACTCTTTGGGGCAGTTGCATGGACCCAAAAGGGCTTATTTAGGTTGCTTCCAGGTTGTTGCCATTGACAACAATCTAGTGATGGGGTGACATTTCAGCCTGTGCCCCTTTGGGGGATAGGGATGTAGTTCAGTGGCTAGTATGTACAAAGCCTTGTATTCCATCCCAGAACAAAACAAACAAACAAAACCACAAATTCTAACCTGTTTTCCCACTGGGCAGCCTCCCTAGACTGGCTCAGGCCCTTCCAAGGTACTGGCCATTCCTGGGTCTTAGGTTTCATCTTCCTGCTCCCTGGTCATTGGCTGATCCTTCATGTGGAACAGATTTCTCCCATCCTTCAATGCTTCCCTGACCCAGATGTGTACAATGGAGAGGCCTGAACTGATGGCAGGTGTGCAACTGGAGAGGTGTGAACAGATGCACACGCTGGAGAGACCCAAAGGTTTGTAACTCTGTGTCCAGATCATGCTTGTTTGCCATTAGGTTATTTGAATAGTTTACATTTCTTTCTTTTTCTCCTAGGTGAAAGGGTTTCTTAATATCTCCTAATTGGAGGATGAAATATACCTACTGATTTTTAAAAAATCAAATCAGTGTATTCATCTCTCATCCCTTTTTCAGTTTTCACTGCCTCTTGGAATACTCTTCTAGATAGCTAATCACATCATCTCTTTATACACTCATCCTGCCTCACCTTTCTAATCATTGTCTTCTACTTGAACTTCCTGAGTACCAGGTGCCATCGGTGAGACAATTTGTTTGAATCCTTCTTCCTCCTGCTGCTACTCACTGCTGCACGCCTGCGCGGCTTTTCCATCTTTTCTTCTTGATACTCACCCCATGCTCTGGAGGGCCATCCCCTGGTCTCTGAAATGCAGACGGTGTGTGTGCCCACAAATTGCCATGTGCCAGACTTATTTCCTTTAGAAAATGTCTCTTCACAATTTCGTTGAATGGACTTAATATACTATAAGTCCAGCCCACATGAAAACAGTTCCATTGCTACACGGATTTGATCCAAACTGGGCATTTATTTTCAAAATGATTTCATCTGTGTTCTTGGAATTTAGAAAGGCTTTTTGAAGCATGATCCAGGTTGCCTGTTTTTAAACTTTGTGCAGAGAATCCCTAACTTGTTTCCCCATAACTCACTCCTTTAACTAAGGGCTGTATGGAGAACTTCCTGGACCAGACCTGTGCTTCAAGTGATTTGCATAAGAAGCCTTTGTATTGTTATCAAGGTAACAAAAGCCAAAGTTGGGGGGGGGGGAGGAAAAGTCACTGCCAATCTTCCTGCCCTGATAGAGAAATCAGATTCACTTTGTCTACTGACATCTAGGCTCTGCCCATGTAGTGGTCTCTTCCTGTGGCAGTCACCACACGACTGCACGTTCACAGTTTGAATGCTGCTTGTTGGACGTAATAAGTATTCATGGCTCCATGTAATCTGGGGATGATCTTGCAGATCAGCTGCACTTTCCCGTAGTAAGCGGACGGCAACATAGCTGACCATCCCTTGCACTGCGCATGAGGGGCTTCCAGGTTTTCACCATTGTACATAATACAATGGACATCTTTGTGCCAGGGCTTTTTCTGCTTTTGGATTACTTCCTCAGGCAAGGGTGGAGTTACTGGGGCAAAAGATCAGAAGGGGTGTTATTTATTTATTTATTTATTTTTACTTTAACTGACCTCCTAAGGTGTTGTGCTGGGTCACCTAGCTGCCAACACAGCAAGCAGAAGCCCAGGTCCACTCTGAGTGGTGGCTCCTCCTCTTTATTATAGAGGACCTGAAGCACTGCCACCACCTGAGCCCTGCTGGACACCAGCTGTGAAAGTTTGGGAGGTAGTCACAGAGGGTTGGTTCTTCACCCCAGTCTCCAGCAAGAGCTGTGGCTACAGGTGGAGGGGCTCTACCTGAGGTGAAACTGCCTTAAGGGACCCTGGAAGAACGTCAGGGCTGCAGCCTGAGGTGCTTTCCTGTGGACACCATCTTGGACCTTCACAAATGCCCAGAATGCAGGATGATTGCTCCTCTCTGGCGCCCGTCTTGTTTATCAAGTGTTTCCAGCAACTCTGACAGACACACATTTTCAGCCATGGTTCCTTTAAGAGAAGAAGTGTTTTTTAACTTTTCACACTCAGCACCGGCTGAAGTGGACAACTTCAGATGGAACAATGCAAACTACAGGAACTACACAAAATCTAAAACAAAGCGGGCCTTCTCTGCAGGAGTGGCTTCAGCATCCCAATTCCCTGTGAAATGTGCCACAGTGTGCCTGGGCCAGTGGCCTGGCCTCTCCCTCCAGCCAGCCTCACAGATCCCAGGTGCTCCTGCAGCCTCCGGCCACCACTGTGCACAGCAGAGGGGGAGAAGGTGCATTTGCTTCTCATGGCTGCTGCAGCACTCAGTGACTTTAGACAGCCCCTGCGGCTGTGCTCAGAGGCCAAGACTGAGGAGAGAGGCCTACAGGCAATAGAGCCTGGCCAGCTCCCCAGAACTGACCTTCTCAGGCTCTGGGGACACATTCAGTCTTCGGAATCTTCTGTGTTACAGCTAAGGCAGGTTGAAGATAAACAGGTGGTTATTTGCACATCTGGCATCAGCACTGCCTCTGGGTCAGTGTGCTAGTGAGCACAAGGCGGTCACCCTGCCTGACCTCACAACTAGCTCTGCTGCCTTGGGCAGACCATTCAACTTGTTCCTCAGTCACCTTGTTTCTAAAATGGAAATAAGAAAATTGTTTCATGGGGTTGTTGTGAGAAATGAAGAAGCTAAGAACTAGTGGGCCCTAACCAAGTCTTAGGTTAGGGCATGGTGTACCTCAGAAGATGACTGGAAATGGCGTCATTCATCTGAGGTGGTCAGATTTAGGCTCCTGTGGGCCAGTGAACMCTGCAGCTGGTTCTCCTGTGATGCCCCAAATGGGAAAGGGGTGCCCAAGCCACTCCAGTTGCACCTTCACCCACAGCCTTGCTTTTAGCCCTTATCTTCTCTTGCCAGGACTCCACACTCGTTCTTGCAATATCTACCCAGTACATGTGCTCAGGGTGTGCTCTAGGCAATGACAACACTTGTTGAGCACCAAGAAGCCAGAGTGCAGGGCTCCGGCAAAGACACCCAGGACACAGGTACTCTCCCAAGACCCGGGACCTGGACCTGGAGGCCTCTCTGGGAAAGTGGTGCCTAAGCTTAGGAAAACTTGGGAGTTGGCTGGGCAAAGGGAGAAATGTTCCCAAACAGAAGAAAGAATGTGAGTTATTATTGAGAATTCTCTTGGCTCCTCTCCCACCAGTTCACAGATCCAAAAGCCTCTTTTGGAAAGAAAATTTAGGGAGGGTCTGGGGATGTAGCTCAGTGGTATAGCACGAGATTTGTGTGGGGGAGGCCCCGAGTTAGAACAAAATAAAACAAGCCTGTCTCACCTTTTAAAATCATTCAATGGAGCTCTTGGAAACAAGTCTCACTCTTTGGCTCTTTCTTCCTGTCTTCGTGGTTAACCTCATCTTTTGATGTCCCACTACTCCAGAAGCTTGCCTGACCCCACCCAGAGCTGCCCACCGTCAATCACACAAGTACACTAAAGGACAAGAGAAGAATTTGCACCCCATAATCTAGAAGTGGGACAACTTGAAAGACATCTTTAAAGCATGTGTATTAAACGGATCAGAGAAAGGCTAAAAAAGGCAGGAATGGGCCACCCAGCCTTCCACCGGCCCACGGGGTGGTCATTTGCACGTCTGACCGCCCATGTCATAGACCCGGCACTGCAGGCTGCTGGGGCTAGCCCGGTCCTTTGCATTGGTCACTGTGCTGGACACACCGGGCGCTCCACTCATGGTAGCGGTCAGTTCCGGCTTGGCGTTTAGTCAGTTCCAAACCCTCAAGCCCCGCACACTGCCTAATGAATGGAAATAGGGAAYCCGGCTCCACACCCGCGCCGGAGCTCTCAGCCGCCAGAACTACCTCGGAGGCCCCGCCCTGGATTTCAATGACCAATCAGCGAGGACCTAGGATCTATGCCCGCCTCCCTCCGTGCCCCTCGACCAATCAGAGAGGTCAGAGCGTCCGCCTCGCCTAGTCCCGCCCCGGGCGGCACACGCCGCTGTTCGCGAGTCAGGCCGCAAATAAAGTTCTTCGCGGCTTTGAATTTTTTTTTTTTAAAGCGCCCGCGGCAGCCGAGGGCGAGAGCGGCCGAGTCCCCGCCCCGCTACTTCCGGTCCCGCCGCCGGGAGCCGGTGCGGCTGTGAGGGCCGCATCTCACCGCCGCCGCCCGGCCGGGCATGGTGTTGGGCGCCGGCCCGCCTCGCCTGTCTCGGGGTGCCCAGGTGAGGGGCGGCCGAGGCTCGGCGGCCCCAGTTTGGGGCCCTCGGGCTCCTCACGCCGGGCCGGACCAGGCCGGGCCCGGCGGCCTGCGAGAGGGGTCCGGACGGACGCCCGCGTCCAGCACCCGGGGGCCGCGCCGGGCAGCTAGGTCACCGCCGGCGGAGCGGGCCGGCGGCTGCTGGGCCCCGGGCCGAGCCGAAGTGGCCGCCTCGCTCGCCGCGGCGGCAGAGCGCGGCCAGGCCGGCTTCCCGCCGCGGCGGAGCCACCGTGAGGCGCCGGTCGCCGGCCCGCTCCGGCCGGGGCGTGGCCTGGGGCGTGGCCTCCCGCGGGCTCAGTTTCCCCTTCTGTCGCCGAGCGGCTGGGCGCGCCAGGCTCGGGTCCGCCCCTGCCGGAGTGGGCCGTGGTGCGGCCGCCGCGGGGGACCCTTATTGGGGAAGACTCGGACTCGGTGGGAATCGCGCTCCTTCGGGAAGGGAAGGCCAGGTGGGAAGGGAAGGAGCGCGTTCCGGGCCCGGCCATCAGGTGGAACAGAAGCTTCCAGAAACGAGCAGGGTGTTGGTGCGGGACGGTGGGGAGGGAGATGAAGGCGGCAGAGTGCTGCGGGGCTGGGGGTCTCTCCAGGGACATAACTGCCATTCAGGTAATGGGAGAGGGGCGGGTGTACCTGCTGGAAATGAGACCGCCGGGGCTCCAGGGGTGGTTGGCCAGCCAGACTGCCAGCCGGGAGCTTCCTGGGATCTGGCATTCTGTGGAATGGTGGGGCCTGGACTTATTTGTGTCCTGATCCGGGCTCCTTTGACTGGGGAAGTTGAACGTCCCCTAGTGACCAGCTTGCATTTCTTAAGCTTGGATTGGGGCTTCTCTAGGGTGGAAAAATTGTAAATGAAGTTACCCTCACATTGAACTGACTGGTCCTTGGTGGCCCTGCACAGGTGACATGGCCCGATTTCATCACAGCACACTGGAATGCTGAATAAGCAGCATTTGATGATTAGACCAGTAAATAACACAATCTTCTTCTATGGACACACTAAAAACAGGTCCCACCCAGAAGAGGAACTTAACTGGGCCAATTACGACTTGTGGAACCTAGAGACTGAGCATGCCATTCAGAATAGCTGATCTGTTCCCAAAATGCTGTTAGTCAGAGTGTCCTTTTCCAGAAAGGGGAAGTTTAATTTTAAACCAGATTGTGGAGAGTTAGGCATTGAGGAGGTTCTGAAGCAACTGCAGATTTTCAGCTAACTTCTTGACAGTAATTGTTTTTGTTTGAATCTCTATATAGATTTAATTTTATAGCAGTGGAAATATTTCCTAATTAGGCCTTTGGTTTATCCTTGAAGTGGCATGTGATAACGACACAGATGGTAGAGAAATAGATGGTCACTATAGTCATATTTGGATGTTAGGAAAGTAAATTTTGTATTACTTTATGTAAGGCAAAACACCAGTGTTGTTTTCTTTAAAACTTGCACTCAAGTTCCCAATGTGTTTGTTAGTGTTGTTGTAGATAGACATGATACCCTTATTTATTAATTTTTGATGATGCTGAGAATTGAATCCAGTGCTTCACACAGTTGCTAAGTAAATACCACTGAGCCACAACCTCAGCCCTCCCAATGTTTTTTTTTTTTTTTTTAAGAGTTTCTTTTTTAGGGCTGGGGTTGTGGCTCAGACGTAGAGCACTTGCCTAGCATGTGTAAGGCACTGGGTTCAATTCTCAGCACCACGTAAAAATAAAACAAAGGTACTGTGTCCACTCACACCTAAAAAACAAATGTTTTTTAAAAAAGAATGGAAACAATACCTTTATTTTGTCTACTTATTTTTTTAATGTGGTGCTGAGGATCAAACCCATTGCCTCACACAGGCTAAGTGCTCTACCACTGAGCAACAAACCCAGTCCCCTCCCAATGCATTTTATTAGTAAACTTGAAGATAGTAAGCCAGGGTTCTGTCAGTGGAGTTGCATGGGGTCCTCCAGCCTCTGCCACAGAGAAGGCTTCAGTGTGGGTGAGCGAATGGAAAAGCATTAAGCACAGCCTTAGGCAGCAGCAGTGCAGAAGAGGGTCTTGGTGGACACCCTTCTCCACAAGAATGATGACTCTTACCAGGCCTTTCTGAGCTCTGCTTGGTACAGGTCTTCAGGGAGCTGGGATGGAAGGCTTATGTCTGCTGCTTGCTTTTCTATGGGACTCTTCAGTATAACACCAGAGGACTGACCACTGACCTCTTCACACACTGCTTTTATTTTATTTTTAACTTCTTACCCTATTTTCACTACTGAAGTGAGCCAGAGGTTGAAAAGCTGGTGGTCCCTATGTGGGGCATCTGATGCCTCTGACTGACTACTGTGTGATGGACATGTGTCTTGGCCCATCATCAGGGGACCCTGATGCTATGGCAAGACTGATGTGCTCAAGTCTGGGCAGTGAAGAGAATCTGATTTAGGSCATTAATTATAATTTAGTGTTGGTGTTGATGTTGCCACAAGTGTAAATAAAGTACAGCACAAATCAATGCAAAGATCCTTTGAAGGCTGCATTCATACCTTTGTTAAAGGAAGAAGGAAAGGAACACCTTGCTGCTCCCTCTGTTCCTGAAGGGTGAGCCCCTGAGCCACACCTGGGACCCTATTACAGGGAAGAACAGACTTCCCAGTGAATAGTGGACCTGTTTGGATTCCAGTGTCAGGCACATGCTGGTAAAGAAGCTGTAGAGGCCCCCCTAGACTGTATGCTTGATATAACCCCAGGGCCTGACATCTGGGGGGTAAGCACTGAGTATTAAATGTCTTACTCTTCCTTTTAAAATATTTTAATTCACACTTTAAAAGTTAGGATGGTATGGAACTTTCCTAGGTTCATTATGAAGGAATCTAGTCTTGTCTTGTGTCTTGTGCCTTCAGGATCTGATTGCTGTCTAGAGGCATGGTCTTGACTCTGCTCTCCCCTGGTCTTTCAGGGTAAAGGTGGCAGTAATGCTAACGTTGGCAAGCAAGCTGAAGCGGGATGACGGTCTCAAAGGGTCCCGGACGTCAGCCACCACGTCTGACTCCACTCGGAGGGTCTCTGTGAGAGACAAGTTGCTTGTCAAAGGTAAGCAGCATCCTGGAAGCTGATTCTACATGCTGTCGCCAAATGAAGCTTGCTGGAGACATTTCTGAAATAACAAAGCAGGCTGCTGCTGAATGGAAACACTTGTTCAAAAAGATTTTAGGGAAATACTTATACCTTGCAGATGATAATGGGATTGCTCGTGGCAAGGAGAGGATCTCAGAGACTATGGTGCCTTATGCACTGGCAGTGTTTTTGGGGGGCTTGCCAGTGTGTTAGCAGAAGGAATAAGGTGTTAGGAGTCAGCAGGCCTAACACCCGTTGTGTGTGCTGCCATTGTCTTCCCCTCTTCTTTAGGGCATAGACTAAAGCAAATCCTTTGCAAAGTGATTTTTTTTCACAGTTAACACATAGTGTCCTGGAACCATAGACACTTCTGCTATCCATGTCAGTGAAGGGAGACTTTATTTCTGGATATGGAGTGTGTGAGAGTGTATGTGTGTAAGGGTATGCCCTCATATTTGTGTTTGTAAGTTTTTTGCAATATTTAGGTACAAAGGCTCTTATCACAGTTATGGGGCCTACAAAAGATGAAGAAGCAGCAGTTGTTGCCTTTTAGGAACTTATCATTTGCAGCACTTTTTATTTTATAGCAAATTACGTTTCTTGCATGTGTAGTAGCTGGATAGCAAAGAAGGGTTGAGTAGTGTTGGCTCTGGCTGTTTGCATGTCATAGTGAATGCACAGCATGGATAACCAACTCTGGTATGTCCTGAAGGCATCTGGCAGCAGGAGAACCAATGTGTGTTAAGTCACTATGCCCACTTCTAAGCTGGGGAAGGAATAGGATAGGAATACAGCAGATTTGTGGAGACTTTAACAAGGACCTCTTCCTTGAAGCTTCCCCTGTGCTTGAATTATGTGTGCATGCAAGCGCGTACGTGTACGTGTGTGTATAAGGGTTGAATCCAGGGCCTTGGGCATGCTACAGTGCTCTACCACTGAGCTATATCCTGGACTACTGCTGCTGAATTTTGACTTAGCTTTGAGTTATGCAGACCGATGGGTGATGGGTTAAAAGTGGAGTAACAGTTACTTTTTACATCTTGTTCTTACCTCCTAAGCCCAGGAGAACCTCAGATTGTATTCAGAGCCTGTTAGCCTTTGGAGGGCAAGGGTCAGAGGCTGGGGCATGGGCTGGAGCACTACATTGGGTGAGCTGGACAAGATTTGGAGTCCTTTTCTCAGATTCTGGCCTCAAGGGTTCTACCTGCTGAGGAAGCCAAGAGCCAAGCAAACCAGAGGTTAGGGGGTGCTGTTGTGATACTTGGGCTGGAAAGTGTTTTAGAGCAGTGAGGAAGGCCTGGGCATCAGCTGAGGAGGAGCAGTAGGAGCTGACAAATAGACCATCCCATCTTTGACTGTCATCACCATGGTTAATAGCAGCTTTGGTATGGAGGGCCAGACCCCGTGTTGGGCACCATCTTAGTGCATTTGTGCTGCACTAATAAAATAATACAGACTGAGTAATTTATAAACAATAGAAATGTATTCTTGTTCTTCTGGAGGCTGGGAAGTCCAAGATCAAGATACTGTCAGGATTAGTGTCTGGTGTCTGGGGAGGACTGCTGTCTGCTTCCAAGTTGGTGCCTAATTGCTGTAGCCGAGGGAAAAGTGTTGTATTTTTACATGGCAAAGGAAAGGAAGGGACAAAAGAGCCTAAGCTAATTTATAAGGCATGATCCATCTCTGTGGGCAGAGCTCATGATGTATTGCTTCCCCAGGGCTTCTCTTTATACCGCCACAGTGGGATTAAGCTTCAGCATGAATTTTGGACACCTTCAGACTCTATTAGGCACTTTAGTTTAAACCACAGCGAACATGTTAGGAGTGATTCTGGTTTGCCTTTTACAAAGCCTTCCCAGGCTGCTCTTCATTTTGCAGCTGAAGAGCTAAGAAAATGAAGAAACCTGCCCCTATTGCAGCTTTGTTGCAGCAGGATGGACAGACCCACTTCCTGGGGTGTGGCAGGCTCTGGGGGAGCAAACTCAGCAAGCAGAGGCCCAGTCAGCAGAAGTGCAAGTCCACAGGAAAGAGAGTGCTAGGAGGCTCAGAGTTCCTACTTCTATTCTGCAGGACTGACCTGGGAGCTTTCAAATGGTTTGGGGGCCTTCCCAAGCTTAGTGGGAGCCCAATGAGTTTCACAAAGCAGGACAAGGTCTCAGCTCCAGGGCAAATGCCTTTGGATGGTTGACAGGGCCTATCAGATTTTTCAACCTTGTGAGACCCATTCAAGGAGAGGTCCAGGTGGGCTGGGGGAGTCCATGCTGTGGGGCTGGTGAGATAGTTGGAGAGGTGATCATGATGAGAATCCCTTGACTTTTTTAAAAATAGGCTGTTTGAGTTCAGCAAGATTGCTACAGTCAGAACTGTTGTCCTGGGCTTCTGTGAGGATGTAATTCGCAGGAATTGACAGGTTATAGAATTTTGTCATTGTGTATTAAAGTCATAGACTGGGTTCCCAGAAGGGGAGGGAGGGAGTGTGTCATGCAGGGTACTTATTAAGCAGTATCCTTGGAACAGTACCCATGAAGGGAAGGAGATGAGAGAAACAGAAGGGGCAGAAGGAGGATTGCTTTGCGAAAAGTCCCCAGGACAGCCTCTTCTCTAGAGTGAGCTTGGCCCCTAGAGCTGTCCCAGGTTGGTGAGATTGTCAGGCCTCCTTCCACGGTCATCACATGGAGGCTAGCCTGGGAGGGACTTGGCTTGGGGTGGGGGAGTCTGTGTAGCCAAAAATCCTGGAAATAGCTGAAGGCCATCTGCTCAAAGGCCCCTCTGAGGGGGCATCTGGACAATGTATCACAGTGGCTCTTCTGTGATGTGACTGGCTACAGGGCTGAGTGGACACCCATGGTGGGGAGGGATCCGAGTGGTTGCACAACCAAAATCCCATTTATTGGAATAGTGACAGAGGCTGGAGTCAGCCCTCCCTGCTCTGTTCCAGGTTGCCGGAAACCTTTGGCCTTGTCTGCACTGGCAAGGGCTCCCTTCTGCCACACTGACTTTCGTTAGTGTCCCTGCTGGTTCTGAGGATGCCCTGCAGGCTGAACCAGTGACACTCTCCTAATAGTGGTTCCTGGAGTTGTTAAATGACTCATGTTTTTGGGTCTGTCTGGCCTGGCTCCTGGTAGCTGGGTCACAGAGGAGGGGCTGTGTTCCCTGTTGGTCTGCCTTTGTCAGGCCTGACTGGGGTGCCCTTACAGGTGGTGTCAGCATTCCTGAGCCAGGGTTAGGCCCTGATTCATCAGGTTTGGAGATCTGAAGATGCTCCCAACCCCATAAGACACCCCTCAGAGCAGAACCAGCTGCTTACTTGTCTGAAGTTGGCACTGGTGTTAGATAGCTAACAGCTGAATGCCTTTCTTTCTCCCTGTTCTTTCACTTGCTCACCCACCAAACACATGTTAGTGCCACACACTGTTAGTGACCCTCAAAAGACCCAAGGGTTCTTCAGGCAGGTTGGCAGGAGCCCTTGCCTGTTAATCATGGAGCTTAAACACGGAGACTTGGAATTGAGGTCTTCAGGGTGGATCTAGACTCAGGGGACTAGACAAACAGTCTTTGTCCCTAGCAGCTCCATGGGCTTCCTATGATTCTCCTGTGTTCGCTGGTCAGGGTTGTGGAGTGTGGTGCTCTGAGCCCACCATCTGTGCTCCACTGACAAGAGTAAGGAAGGACTTCTGTGTCACTGTGGACCATCAGTGTATAGGTGGGGCCCTGGCCTACACCAGGTCTGCATGTGCCTGCATTCCAGTGTGGTTCCTGGAAAAGGAAGAAAGAGCATTTATTGTTTCCCAGAGGTACTCTCTTGAGTCAGTCCCTGTCCAGACCTCTGGCAGTTGGGTAGGGTTTGATCTGCCGCATTGTCGGGGCCATCATAGCGTTTGGCAGAGTGTGAAGCTGAGGGTAACATGCTACATTACACATTATTGAAATAAGAGCAATGGCCCAGCAAAGAGGTATCCTACCAATATGGAGATAGGGTGGTTGGTCATGAGGTTAATCTTTGTGTACTCCATTGGGGCATTAAATACTGTTGAGCTACTTGGGGAGATTTGGAAGCCCCTTCAGGTACTCCCAGTAGTCTGGAAGGGCAGGGAGGTCCTGTGGGAATTTTGGACAGGGGCCCAGGTAATATGCTCATGAACAAACTAGGTGGCATCTGGTCTTGGGCCCCATTCTCAGTGACACTAGGCTCTTCTCAGGGGGCTGTGTCTGCTTTTCAGGGTTATAGCCTTGCTTCCCTAGAGTGTGGTGCTAGGAGGCCCTTGATGGTAGCAGCTAGGGGTCACTCAGGGGTAGCAATATTCTCTGGAGAGGCTAATGCCCAGGTATGGGTCATGTGCCTCCCAGATAAGTGTACTGCAGGTGGGTGCAGGGAATACAAAAGAGGCAGGATTTGAGAATTTTATTGCATAAAGACAGGAAGCCAAGGGATCAAGTTCTAGTTCAAGAACTGAAGGAGGCAGTGCTGCCAGTGGAAGTGGTTGGGTGTCCCGGAAAGGAGATGTTGTGGCTACCTCCAGGGAAGGGCTCAGCTGTTCTGCCTGGAGTTGTTTGATGGAGCTTGGTGCTCCCTCTGGTTGTCTGCACCTGCTACTGCCTTTTGTCTTAGAGTAGCTGCTGTAAAAAACTGCCACAGGCATTTATATCTTATAGTTCTGGAGGTTGGACATTCAAGATAAGTTCCTAGCGAGAGCTGGTTGATTGAGTTCCTGGTGGGGACGCTCTCCTGGCTCATGAACAGCCACCTCCTCTTGGAATCCTCACATGGCAGAGAGAACAGGAACTTGGGTCTTCCTTCCTCTTGTGAAAGCACTAATTCCATCCTAGGGCTCCCCCTTCTTGACCTCATCTGAACCTACTCTCCCCAAAATCCCACTTCCAAATACCATCACGTTGAGGATTAGGGATTTAGCATAGAAAAGGGGTCACAAATTCAGTCCACAATACCTTTGGAATGCCTGCTCAGTCTCCAGCCC